GGCTCCTGGACGAGACCCCGCGGCTGTTCACAGCCTCAGGACGCCCTGATGGGGGGGGTCCCTCCCGCCCCCTTCCCGAAGCTCTGCATTCTGGTGAGTTAGAGACTCCTTAGGGATACATGGCAGGTTAACTGCTTGTCTGTAATCCGGCTCAGCACAGCTCAGGACAAATGTACATGGACAAACCTCGTAAGACCAGATGATGTCACTTCTTTCACACATGCGTGCATGCCGACATGGAGCCATCATGTATGCATGTGTGTGTGTGCGTGTATAATTATTTTGCTAACCATGGAAAAGGGCCTGTCGGTTGGTGCTGAGACTCGCAGGCCCAGTTTTATATCCTCTTTGTCTCAACTGGTTTCTTTCACTTTTGAGGCTCAGATGAATGTATAAGAAAAACGAGACTAAGTTGATAGATAATGAGTATAACAAAAGAAAAATGCTTCCCCTAAAAATATTTTCTCCAAAAATCCTCAATTATAAATCTTATTGAAGTATATTTTACTTTGAAAAATGGCAGTATGGAAAACCTCTTTTATTGTTAATCTTCTTATTTTCATAATAAACTTGGTTATATATTATGGTAACAGAATGGAATGATGTAGTTGTTCAACGATTATTCCAAAGAGTAATAATATGGACTAGATGCATGGATTAGAAATTTTTAAAGAACTATAAAATCTCAAACTCTTACTTATAAAAAAAACATAAGGCATACTATTTAATTTCCTCTTGATAATTCAAAAGGCATATTGGTATTTTGAATTTCTCAGGGTCATTACTGAGGCCATAAATTTCCATTGGGCTACAAATGTGTCAAAGCATTAGATTCATTGTAGTTACTGGTATAAAACATTCCTGGCCATCATTAATTCTCTCAGCAAAGGAGACAAATGAGGTTGGCCACAAGAATTTCCTGAGTAGGTACAATAATAAATCCTCTAGATATGAAATGCATTTAAATGTAGTTAGCATTGCTATATCAGGATCTATTTAATATGATCACTAGAATCTATTACTTTGATTTCGTCTTCTGGCAACCCATTAAACACAAAAACTCTTCATGAAAGTTTATTGTTAATTTGATTGATTGATTGATGATGTATTTAAAATTTTATCTCAAGTATAAAAATAGAGATTTTTAAATTAGGTCTACCATCTGGTTTCCTTTGATAAGAAGAATGGTAAAATGGACAAGCCTAAAGACCAAATGGGACTCCCTACTACTAGATGGGCAACTTTCTGCCATGTTCACCCTAGAAAAAAAGTAGCATTTCTTAAAACATGGAGAAATTAACTGTTTTTTGGAGAGGACTGGAATCCCTTTTCTAGTGCTTCCCAGGCAGTACAAAGAACATTAAGTCAATACATGGGAACAAGATATTTTAAAATGTACACAGTAA